CGTAAGCGTTCAGCAGGAGACAATCTAGTCCTGCCCAGTTGCATGGGCTCCGGAGGAGTCGAGTCGACAGCCCTCGTGATTCCCGAGGGAACTCGGGCGACATCGGATTCTCCCGGTAATGTAGACGCCGGGGACTTCCGGGATTCGTCGGCGGCGAGGTGGGAACCATGGACGAGCGAGTGTGACCCGTAGCCGCCCATCGATCCGTATGGTCAATGCTATGAGAAAGTCGAGGTCCATGAGAAGCTCCCGGGCTGCGAGCTCGTGTCGAACAGGGATTCCGGGTTCCAGGCACTCTCAGCGGCCAAAGTGTGAAAATATACCGCGTAGTCTGTCATACTACGTGAGTCTTGATGCAGTTGAAGTAGCTTCCAAGCACCCGCTCTCCCGGACAATGGAGAATCGAACATCTTTCTTACATCCGCCACGAACTCCTCCAGACTGAGGCAAACAGTGGATTATTGCTCCCACACTGCCGTAGCCCAGGCGAGTGCCCTCCCGGACATCAGCGTTATCAGATACACTATCTTCGAGCGGGCCAAGGGAAACAAAGGGGGCTGCAGCTTGAAGATGAGGGAGCACTGGGAGAGAAACGCTCGTCAGGTTCCTGGACATCCAGCGTAGCGCTACGGAGGAGGTAAGCGGGGTTCTCGGGATGCCGGGGTAGGCAGGGGAGAAGCGCCGCTGGTAGCGGGGTTACTGAGAGTCTGGGAGTTACCATTGTGGCTTGCTGCCTAGTAGATAATCTGCGGAATTGCCGGGAAGACTGGAAACAAAACTTGAGAATAGGAAAATGGGAAACACGCTGGGACGACCTGACAAGACAAGACGAACTGGCAACAGACAAACAGAAAACGCAGGTATAAATACACAGGAGATAATGTATCAGACACCTGGTGCGTGATGGAGACAAAAATAGATCAGGGTGTGACAATTTTACTCAATACGAAGTCATACCTTAAGCCAACACTTTTCTCTGGTCCTTCCTACTAGGGTCAGGCGGCTTCAAGTTTGGGAATGAAGGACCTAGGGTAATGGAATAGTAACATGAAGTATGCATAACTTATAAAGATATCCACACAATACATTAAGTGGCCACATTTATGAATGAAATTCAATTTGAGTGATATATTTACCACCATTGTCTATTTGGCACGCACAGCAATGGTGGCAGCTTTTTGTTTGCTGTGTGTTTAAAAACAACAGCACATAGTTACACCATCATCAATAACAGACATGGAAATCATTCTCAATCTAAGTAACATCTATAAATTAATGAGACCAGGTGTGTCTCATCTGATTGAGAATTGCTGATACTATATTTGTCTATTTTCTTTGGAATATCTGCCACTGAACCACACACTTCTATCTAATGAGAGTGCACAGAACATTTTAGCTTTAATTACCTGGTTGTCCCATTGAAGTCAACATCACTTCTTCATGGGAGACCTGCTGGTATGGCTAAAGGCTTGTGTATTTTCACTCTTTAAAGCAGGTAAATAGCTAAACAAGTGACACCACCACAGCTGCATGCATTTGTGGTCTCTCCATATGTGACTCGTTTCAGGAAACTAGGCGTATGTCACGCGTCACTACTTCACAGGAGCGCCATTTGAACATACATTTTTTTTTTTGAAAGTTCTAAAAGCAAAAGTGACTTGTATTTTTGGCGAGTGCTGCTCTACTGGCAAACTGGATCTTTGTAGCTAGCTGGCAAACTGGATCTTTGACATAAATGAAAGAAAATAATTGCAGTTGTGTTGTAAGTAGTAATTTCCAGATGGAGAAATGCCAGATAATGAACGTTAAATAACTGAGATCTGTGTCTATAGTGATGGTCAGGCTGGCCTCTGACTTGGTGTACAGGGAGAATACTGTAAGAACGGCCCATGTTCTGAATTCTGTCACTGTCCATTTCAAAAGTGCTGAACAAATAGGCATGTCGACCACATCCATCTTAGATTGCTCCTTAATATCTTAATTTAAATTACGGCTCTCTTATGCCATAGTTTGTACATCCCAATTGTTATATTGCTTATATAGGTCTTATTCATTATTTTAGGCAATGTTGGAATGATGCATTTCATTGTTTTGCTTATTTGTGTATTATAATTAGCTCATGTGCTTTTCTCCACGAGGAGGTGATCCTATATAATGTTGTAGGGTCTGTAATCATGTTTACCATGACACTCTTTTCCCATTCAAATATATAACAAAAAAGAAAAAAAGTTCAGTAATAGAGTAATGTAATTCCAGTTGATATTGCAAGGGTTGTTTAGTTTGCACAATGCGCTGACTGTGTGTTGGTATATTGTCTATAAAAGTGGATCCACATAGGCCTAATAAAATACTTCAAATGGTAGGCTAACCGCGTCTCTCTCTCTCTCTGTGTGTGTGGTGACTTAAATAAGATAAGTTAAGGCCTCAGCATCTTGCTTAATTTATCCGAGCTAACATCTAGTTTCAATTTTTTATGTCACATGCACAAGTACAGTGAAATGCCTTTCTTGCAAACTCAAACCCCAAAAATGCAATAATCAATGCTAGAAAAAAACCACATGAGAAATAAGAAGAATTATGAAGAACACAATAAGTAAGTAAGCATACTATATACATGGTCAGTTCCAATACCATATTTACAATGTGTGTGGATACTGGTGATGGAGGTAAGGTGACTAGGCAACAGGAAATAAGATAAAAGAGTAGCAGCAACTTGTATATGAATGGGTGTGCGTGTGTGTAGAGTCAGTATAAATGTACAGTATGTGCATATTATGTGTGAGTGAGCAGATGATGGAGTGAGTGTGTTGTGGGTTCGTTTCCCACGGGGGGCCAGTATGAAAATGTATGCACTCACTAACTGTAAGTCGCTCTGGATAAGAGCGTCTGCTAAATGACTAAAATGTAAAATGTAAATGTGTGTGTGTGAGTGTGTAGGACCCTGTGAGTGTGCATAGAAACTAACAATAAAAGGTCAATAAGGTCAATAAGGATGCAAGGTTAACTCAGATAGTCCGTGTAGCTATTTTCTAGCTATTTATCAGTCTTATTGCTTGGGGATAGAAGCTGTTCAAGAGCCTGTTGGTGCCAAACTTGATGCACCGGTACTGCTTGCCGTGCAGAAGCAGAGAGAATAGTCTATAACTTTGGTGGTTGGAGTCTTTAACGATCTGAATTTCTGGCGGTCTCCATATGGTTTTTACTCAGCCTAAGCCGTTTGCTTGCACTTGCTTATTCTTAAAGCTAAGTGTTAATGATATGAGAACAAACATTAGGAATTTACTGAAAATAAATGTAATAATTTTTGTGTGTGGTTCAAAAGTCAAAACTCATGTCTGCATTCATTATTATTGACGGAGAATGCGGTTCTTATCGAGTTACACAAATCCAGAAGGAGTCAGTAAAAACCATATATATTTAAGCAAGTCAGCCATATCAGCTATGGTTTTTAAAAAGACAGCAAATGAGGCTGAATTAACTGTTTCGCTGCCAGACGAGGCTCCGCTGATAGCCAGGTGTAGCGGTGGTAAGGATTCCCTCCATGGTGCTGAAAGGAACGCTCCACTGTCGGGACAGCTTTACAGTATGTAGGCCCTAACAGTTTGTGGGCACCGTTTGTCACCATTATAGTTCAAATAATGTATTGTTTAGTGTTGTGTTGTGTAGTGGCTTTGCTGGCATCTAAAAAAACAATTTGAGTTTGTCCCACCAGGATTCCCATGCTAAAGTCACCACTGCATGATGTAAACAACACTATCACCCATCTCATTTTTTGGGGTTAAAGACTACATTAGAATCCAGAGAAGTCACTATGAAAAGAATAAAATGGAGGTTCTGTAGAGTGACCCTCTCCCCTACTACATTGGCTTACATGCTGCAGTCAGTGATTTTTACACTACACACCAGAGTAACATGGTCCCAACTGAATAATCAAAGTCCTGAAGTGTGCACAAACCTGCATTCTTTCTGCCATGCATCCTAAACAATTTGCTGCCACGGAAATGTATAACCTGGCCGATAAAGGTTAAGCCGTGTCTCAATCTTTGCCATGATAATCTATCTAAGGCAGTAGAGGAAATTGTAGGACCTTTATTTAATTTCTCCTCTCAGAGGAATAATTAGTTGGTGGATGGTCATGGAATTGTGGAATATAAACCTAGGACACCAGGTAACTGTAGTTTTATCAGTCATTTGTTCTTTATGAGTAGGTTCTACAGTGCAAGAATAACCTCATTCTGACTCAACCTGCCTCATTAGACAGATAAGCTAATGGTAAGACACATCTGAATTGTCACCCTATTGCCCTATAGTGCACCACTTAGGGTGCCATTTCGAACACATCCATAGTCACAGCCAATCATTTGTCAAAACAATCAGCTTAGAATTTCCTGTCTTGTACTGTCTACCAGTTTAGGGGGAGGCGTGGGGAAGAAGTGAGCGCCTGCAGGAGTCAAATTCCTGTGACAAAAAGGGGGCGGGTTGGATAAAAAGTAACGGGGCACACAAAAAGTTTAGAGGCGTCTGTGGTTTTGCACTGAATGTCCAGCAAGGAAGTAAAAAGTAGACTATTGTAAAGATTATCGGAGATTTCAGACACCTTAATAACATCAGACCGTTATGGCAGGTAAATTAAATAACATTGTATTGCATGGTTAGTCAAAACAAGACAATCTTTGCTATATGTTGTGGCATTTGTGGTTATGAAAAAATATGCAATATTTGCCTGTAGTTTTCTCAGTTGAATACGAAATGTAAAACAAACCTAACTTTTAATAGTCTTCTCTTACTTTTAAAGTTAACATTCTGAATCTTAGACCAGGAGATTTGCATGGGAACAGCAATCTGTTATTGCAAAAAGCCTTGCTGTTCTGTTGTTTAATCTTGCAAAATATCATTTTCCCAAGAATATATCAATCTATTCGGTCAATTGAGATATACTGCAATAGGATCGACAGTCTATGGAGAGACATCTTATCTCAAATGCTCTTTTCAGATGAAGAGATAGCCCCGGAGACGGGGACAGGTCTGTCTGTGAGCCCCGCGCCCGGCGCATAGGTTCCCCTTGTCGCAGTGACGTTTCAGAGGAATCCTCACCAAAAACAGAAGTACCTGGAGTCTGAACCCAAAGCATTGGGGGTACATCATCCTGAGCAAATACATGAAGTCTAGTCTGGCTATCCAATAAGATGTCACTAATGGATTAAAATCTATGAAATGTCACTAATGGATTATACATTTTAATCTATAGTTCATTTTCCTTCACCCCTCTCATCTCCCCTCCTTAGATCACTCAGATTGCCCTCAGTGTGTTCCACATCAGTTCTGTCATTGTCATTGACACAACGGGCATGAGCATGTGGGTTCAAGATTTACCACAAATCATTGGATCACTTTTTGTGAGTGCCCACTATACATGTGCCTCCAGTACTTACTTGAATGATGTTAAACGACAAGCAAATGGATGAGTTGAGTGTTGAGACTGTGACGATGACCTGACTCTTTCTGTTGTACTCTCTACAGGTGATCATAGCTGGGAGTTTGGCCATAGCTGCACAGAATCTCCATCTTCCCACTGTAAATTATGGGATTTGAAGGTGGGCAAGTTATTTGAGAAAAAAGTGAGAAATATCAGTGGCATTTCCTTTCCTCCTCCTCTCCTTTCCTTTCCTCTCCTCTCCTCCCTCTGTCTCAGCTGAAGGCCTCTCTGGGGATGCAGGTATTGGCCTGTGTAGCATCAGTGTTCAACTTTATTGTCTCTGTGTCAAAAGTGGCAGTAACACCTGCCTGCTGGTGGACATTCTGTGAGAGTGTCAGGCGCAGGAGGGTCAAGCGCAGGAGGGTAAATCACTGAATACAGAGTTTATTCCGTAGGACACAGTTACGCTGGATAGCGTCAACAAAATACAGGCACACGGGGAACAATATCCCTGTAAATACAAGGTATGGGTAGCTCAACCGAGCTACACTCAACTCACAAATAACAATCACCCACAAGGACAAGGGGGGCAGAGGGAACACTTATACATGTACTAATGAAGAGATATGAAACAGGTGTGTGTAATTGACAAGACAAATGGAATGATGAGATATGGAGAGGCAGTGGTTAGTAGGCCGGTGACGACAAACGCCGAAGCCTGCCCGAACAAGGAGGGGAGGCAGCTTCGGAGGAAGTTGTGACACATTCGGTAAAAACGGCACTGATCACAACAAAACTTGCCAGCCAGTCATGGTGAGTATGTGCAGACAGTATGTCAATGTGTTAATCACATATGGAGGAAGGGGATGTTCAAACTGGGATGCTCAAACTGGATGTAAAAGTGGGCTGTCCCATCAAATGTTACATGCAAATATTATGAAATGTGTAAAGAGGCAAATACGTCATACAAACAAAAACATTGAACAAAATACACAATGTCACAATTCTTGTCAACAGTATTCTACTGGACATTACTTTTCAGAGTTCTGGTACAGTCTGCTCTCATCGCTATCTCTGTCACGCTGGCCGGCTACTACTGCAAGGTGGTCAACTGCTGCTCCCCAGCACCGCAAATGGTGAGTCAGTGTAGAAATATACACCACCGTTCAAAAGTTTGGGGTCACTTAGAAATGTCCTTGTTTTCTAAAGAAAAGCAATTTTTTTGTCCATTAAAATAACATCAAATTGATCAGTGTAGACATTGTTAATGTTGTAAATGGCTATTGTAGCTGGAAACGGCTGATTTTTTTATGGAATATCTACATAGGCGTACAGAGGCCCATTATCAGCATCCATCAGTCCTGTGTTCCAATGGCACATTGTGTTTGCTAAGTTTATCATTTTAAAAGGCTAATTGATCATTAGAAAACCCTTTTGCAATTATGTTAGCACAGCTGAAAACTGTTGTGCTGATTAAAGAAGCAATAAAACTTGCCTTCTTGAGACTAGTTGAGTATCTGGAGCATCAGCAATTGTGGGTTCGATTACAGGCTCAAAATGGCCAGAAACAAATAACTTTCTTCTGAAACTCATCAGTCTAATCTTTGTTCTGAGAAATGAAGGCTATTCCATGCGAGAAATTGCCACGAAACTGAAGATCTCATACAACGTTGTGTACTACTCCCTTCACAAAACAGCGCAAACTGTCTCTAACCAGAATAGAAAGAGGAGTGGGAGGCCCCGGTGCACAACTGAGCACGAGGACAAATACATTAGAGTGTCTAGTTTGAGAAACAGACGCCTCACAGGTCCTCAACTGGCAGCTTCATTAAATAGTACCCGCAAAACACCAGTCTCAACGTCAACAGTGAAGAGGCGACTCCGGGATGCTGACCTAGGCAGAGTTGCAAATTCCATAAAAAATCTGCAGTTTCCAGCTACAATAGCCATTTACAACATTAACAATGTCTACACTGTATTTCTGATCAATTTGATGTTATTTTAATGGACAAAAAAAATTGCTTTTCTTTCGAAAACAAGGACATTTCTAAGTGACCCCAAACTTTTGTGTATAGATATATATTTTGTCATTTTAGAATAGACATCTCAGGGAGTCATTTTCTCAAAAACCTTTCTTCTATCTTTTTTACTACAAAACATATAAAACACTCAGTTTTCACATATCGAGACACTTTGGTGCTTGATATAATGAATTATCTTTAAAAATACAGTAGGTGAAGTGTTCCTTTAAAAAGCAACATTTGGAAGAAGGCATACCAATACAAGCACTATGTTGTGCTTAGAATGGGCTGATTGGTCTGTTCTCATCATTCAAATATTTTATTTGATCAGACACCAAATAGATAATCTATGTTATCATCAGTTTTTGAATGTTGTTATTACATGTTAGTTAAATATGGTTATGTGTGTGTGTGTGATTAGTTTTTTTCCAGCCGGTGATCACAGTCCAAGTCCCTCCTGTTCAGTAATGAGGACAGATACAGTGCCTTGCGAAAGTGTTCATCCATCTTGGCGTTTTTCCTATTTTGTTGCATTACAACCTGTAATTTAAATGGATTTTTATTTGGATTTCATGTAATGGACATACACAAAATAGTCCAAATTGGTGAAGTAAAAATTCTAAAAAATAAATAACGGAAAAGTGGTGCGTGCATTTGTATTCACCCCCTTTGCTATGAAGCCCCTGAATAAGATCTGGTGCAACAAATTACCTTCAGAAGTCACATAATTAGTTACATAAAGTCCACCTGTGTGCAATCTAAGTGGAGAAGTACAGATCAGGGTTGGGTTATAAGAAAATATCCAAAACTTTGAACATCTCACGGAGCACCATTAACTCCATTATTAAAAATTGGAAAGAATATGGCACCACAACAAACCTGCCAAAAGAGGGCCGCCCACCAAAACTCACGGACCAGGCAAGGAGGGCATTAATCAGAGAGGCAACAAAGAGACCAAAGATCACCCTGAAGGAGCTGCAAAGCTCCACAGCGGAGATTCAAGTATCTGTCCATAGGCCACTTTAAGCCGTACACTCCACAGAGCTGGGCTTTACAGAAGATTGGCCAGAAAAAAGCCATTGCTTAAAGAAAAGAATAAGCAAACATGTTTGGTGTTCGCCAAAAGCCATGTGGGAGACTCTCCCAAACATATGGAAGAAGATACTCTGGTCAGATGAGAATAAAATGTAGCTTTTTGGCCATCAAGGAAAACACTATGTCTGGCGCAAACCCAACACCTCTCATCACCCTGAGAACACCATCCCCACAGTGAAGCATGGTGGTGGCAGCATCATGCTGTCGGGATGTTTTTTTCTTCGGCAGGGACTGGGAAACTGGTCAGAATTGAAGGAATGATGGATGGCGCTAAATACAGGGAAATTCTTGAGGGAAAACTGTTTCAGTCTTCCAGAAATTTGAGACTGGGATGGAGGTTCACCTTCCAGCAGGACAATGACCCTAAGCATACTGCTAAAGCAACACTTGAGTGGTTTAAGGGGAAATATTTTAATGTCTTGGAATGGCCTAGTCAAAGCTCAGACCTCAATCCAATTGAGAATCTGTGGTATGACTTAAAGATTGCTGTACACCAGCGGAACCCATCCAACTTGAAGGAGCTGGAGCAGTTTTGCTTTGAAGAATGGCCCAAAATCCCAGTTGCTAGATGTGCCAAGCTTATAGAGACATACCCCAAGAGACTTGCAGCTGTAATTGCTGCAAAAGGTGGCTCTGCAAAGTATTGACTTTGTATAGTTATGCACGCTCAAGTTTTCAGTTTTTTGTCTTATTTGTTTGTTTCAAGAAATTCAAAGATGTTTTCATCTTCAAAGTGGTAAGCATTTTGTGTAAATCAAATGATACAAACCCCCCAAAAAATCCATTTTAATTCCAGGTTGTAAGGCATCAAATAGGAAAAATGCCAAGGGGGGTGAATACTTTCGCAAATCCACTGTACTGTGTGAGGACCAATCAAGACAAGAGATCCAAACCAATAACCAACCAGCAAAAACACATCTTATAATTCCTTTGACTGAAATATTGTGTATGGATTTCTTTATGTAGTGAAAAACTGTTTGACATGATGTAGCCTATTGTTTTTGGTATTTACCAAACTGGTAACACTTGCAACGCAGCCAGTCCTACATTCAAAACATTTCATTGTGCATTCATTTTGTTTGTAGACATCTTTCACCACACAACCATTGATCCAAAATATAAGTTTACTGTGAAATATAATGAGTACATTGGTTTAATCACCAAAACACAAAATAATGACAATTTAGTTATTTTAACAACCAGTTAATCCAATATAAAAAAAAAATAAGATACATGTTTCACAATGTAGCATGCTTCAGTACTGTAAATTACAGTACATTACACTGTTTTCACATTAGGCAACACACTTGTACTTCCCATTAAAATTGACTGAACATAAACTTTCCATAATGTCTACCCATGAGTGATCAAATGTGTGATCATTGAAGACATCTTTGAAAATGTAATCAAATGAAATAAATTAAAGAAGCACCAGTTTGCATCAAACTGTAGCTCAGCTGGTAGAGCACGGCGCTTGTAACGCCAAGGTAGTGGGTTCGATCCCCGGGACCACCCATACACAAAAAATAAAATAATGTATGCACGCATGACTGTAAGTCGCTTTGGATAAAAGTGTCTGCTAAATGGCATTATTATTATCAAGCATGTCTTGAGCATTTGGCCATAGGTTCTCATTGAAATCACAGTAAATATCCTCATTGTTCATACACCTAGAGAAAAACATTTTGGCATGGCGAATCCAAGCCTGACATACACTACCAGTCGAAAGTTTGGACACACCTACTCATTCCAGGGTTTTTCTTTATTTTTACTATTTTTTACATTGTAGAATAATAGTGAAGACATCAAAACTATGAAATAACACTTATGGAATCATGTAGTAACCAAAAAAGTGTTAAACAAATTCTTCAAATAGCCACCCTTTGCCTTGATGGCAGCTTTTCACACTCTTGGCATTCTCTCAACCAGCTTCATGAGGTATTCACCTGGAATAGATTTCAATTAACAGGTGTGCCTTCTTAAAAGTTAATTTGTGGAATTTCTTTCCTTCTTAATGCGTTTGAGCCAATCAGTTGTGTTGTGACAAGGTAGAGGCGGTATACAGAAGATAGCCATATTCGGTAAAAGACCAAATCCTTATTATGGCAAGGACAGCTCAAATAAGAAAATGAAATGACAGACCATCATTACTTTAAGACATGAAGGACAGTCAATACGGAA